CCCTCCCTAAGAGTAGAATGTGACAGCCTTTCTTCCCAGCTTTCCTCTAGAACTCAACAGGAAGACCCAGACCCCTTCTCTCCTCTGAGTTCTGGCTCAGTGTCTGTATTTAAAGCAATTAGAGTTTTTCATGTGTTCCTTGTTGCTTTCCTGAGAGCTATCTCCCACCTTGCCTCTCTCTGAATATACCTTTTCTCCTCTGTCTTGGAAGCTCCCCTTCCTCAGATCCAATTGTCCCTTTCTTCCACTGCCTGTTGACAAAGGAAGCCCCTTTTAGTGGTTAAAAGCAATTATCAGGCTGGCTAAAGCAGTTCCTTACAGCCTGTTTTGCTGCCCAACACTTGATTATAACCAATGTAGGTCAGGGCCTGTGGCACCACTTATCTTGCCATTGGAATTTCTATGCTATTACACTTTACCTTAGCCAAAAGGGTCAAGAAGCAATACTACTCCTTATTCCTGGCCCATCTCCCTCTTTGGTCCTGTATGTCCTGGGTATACCAGGCAGAACCAGAGCTGGCCAAACCAAAGCCTTGTCTTTTAGTCTCCCTTGTCACACACAGGGAGGTGGAATGTGCAGCACAGAGTGCAAAGCCTCTCAGCTCCCTTCCTGGCTTCTCTGCTGACCCATTATTTGACCTTGAGCAAATGTATTTAAATTTAGTGGTCATTTCAAATCACTTTTGGCACTTTTGTGCCAAGTGTAACTCATCTATAAAACTAGTATTATGGCTAACATTTTCAAAGGAGTTTAAGGAACTTAATGCAAATATTCCACTCCAAGTATTAATTTTGGGCTGATTTCAGTAGACTGCTTTGCAATTGCCAACTTCAAACATTATTCTACTATTGTTATTTATTTTTCATGCAAATTGTCAGAAATTGGCATTCTCCTTATCCAGTAAGCATTAGCCTTTTATAGTGAACTTATCTATGAGGTGCTCAGAAGTATCAAAACATACTTATTAAAGTATTCTTTCTCATAAGATATGTACCTCCAACAACTGGGAAAAAAAAAAAAAAAGGTTAAAAGATCACAAGACAAACATCCAAATATTGAAGCAAAGAAACTTCTGAAAATACCTTCAGTTAGACAAATTAAGATTTATTGATATTTTCATTTTATTGATTTTTTTTTTGTTTAAAATAGAGTTAAATTAGAAGTTTCTTTGAGACACATTCTGCCACTTTTACTCAGACTGAACAGGGCCTCACAAGGGAAAAACAAGTAGTATTCCTGAGTGTCTCTGTGGTTGGGTTTCTAAACACTATTATGCATGTCAGTGGACTGTCCACATCATCTATTTCTGCTTACTTCAAGCAATCTACCTTAGGGACTTTGAGCTGTACCTTTGAAGGTACCTACTGCTCTCCTGCATTCACCGCATATGTGAATGTGGTGTCCTACCTCTGAACACTTGGATTGCACCTAAGATGGGTGTCTAAATCAGTACAAATATATCTACTGTGGTAAGTCATAATCTATCTTAAAATGATTTTTCATCTATTCTGGAAAAATTGAGTTCCAAGCACGCATGACTTTACCAAAGGTTTATTTCATTGTTGGATGAATAACTATGCTGTTTATTGAATTAAGTGACCTTCCTTCAGTATGGATGAAGATAGTCTGGAAGATTTTAACAGAGATCAAAGATTTAAACAGAGTTTTTGACAAAGCGCCCAGCAAATAAACAGGTGGATGAAATGGTAGGCGATGGAAAGCCTTGGGCTTTGAAGAATGAAACTGATAAATTAAAACTGTCACCAGTGGGTGACACTCTTGTACGTGGGTGTGTATGTGCTAGATTTAGGGCTAGAATTTTCTGTTGCTAGAAATTATGGAATATAAAAGAAGGAATTAAGCAGCATATGATTTAGGAGGAACTTATGGAGTCTCCACTTATTTAAAATGTTATGATAGGAATAATGAAGTATAAACACCAGAGAGATAACATCTCAAAATTTTTTCTCCCAAAGAAAGCAGGGAAATCCAGCAGAATATGCATAGATATGGAATTTATTAGTGATGCCCACTTCTCTCTATTTTTAATGGCTGCTGGTGCTCACAGGGCAGGGACTTAGGTGTACAGGAAATGTGGTTCTGCAGTGTCATAAAAAGGTGAGATGATCACAGGTTATGTTATCCAACCACAGCAAAATCATTCCATTGTAAATAAGTAAATTGGTATTTCACTTCCTTGTGGTATACTGTGATGTGGGGTGGCACTGTCTAAAATCAAGTTTCTGTTCTATATTTTCTGCTCATGCTACATAAAAATCACCTTTGCTTAAAAACAGTATTCATATATGTTTTTCCTCCACTTCTGCCATTTATGAAAGCAAGAGGATCATCAGCATCTTTTTTTTTTCTAATGTACAAGATATGAAACACAAAATATTTGGTCAGTGAACTGCATGGTGCAGAAGTTAGTGACAAAACTGCCTCTGCTAGCCAGTTGCGGCATTAGCACTAGACAAATACCTTTTCCTTGTGTCTTCTTTCACAGGATCCCAGACTGTTATGAACATTTTGGCATTGTCCATGGGGTAGGAAAAGGACAGATTTTGGTGTGAAAAGAAAGACACTGCTTCCTGATAGCACCGACTTGCACCTACCTGATAAAAAAACAATGTTCCTTTGTCCATGTAAGCATTGTAGACAGAGGCATAAATTATGTTTGGAAATTTCTTTTATCAATTGTAAGCATTAGCACAGTAAAATGCCATTAAGCTATGCTTTTAGGAAAAAAAATAACTTTTTAATTATTTTTAACAGCTAAATCTATCTTGAATCTATTATATGAATGAAATGACCCAGATATTAAATTGATGGATGCCATAGAAAAACCTTTCCCATGAGATATATTATAAAAAATCAAGGTATATAGCAAAGCTAGAGTATACCATTGCACATTTGGTTAGAATCCAGTTTTGTGAATGGACAAAATGCTGCCTTTCAACTTTTTTGTGTCACAAATACTGGAATAGAAATAAAGCAATTTGTTACAATTTCCTTTTAGTTGTGTTAGTGCAATGTCAGGTTTTCATAGATGCTCACTTGATCAGACACCCACTGTGTCTTGTACTCTGTGGCACTCTCAATCATGAAGCAGGCAAAGCTGGCATTGGGAATTCACCAAAATATGAGAATTTTCAATCATTCGAATGCAAAGGATTTGTCAGGAGCAGCAAGACTTGAAAGTCAATGTTTAACAAGGAAATATTTTTACCTGACATATATTGCCTATCCCAGAGGGCAGCCCACTGTGCTCAGCGCTATGGAAGAAAGTGTCCTTGCATCAAACTGTGTGGCAAAAATACTTCAGACCATTTGACCGTTCTGGACTTTGAAAAGTTGACAAAGCAGTGCTAGCCTCCTCGCTGCAGCCCGGTTTGAGGAGGTTAGTACAATCTGGAGTAGTACTTAGCTGTCAGGTGTGGGTACAACCATACACCTGGAGGTAGGTAGGCACCATGCTGGAATGGGGCTGCCATACTGCTGCCCCTCGAACTTCAAAAGGAATCCATTTGTCTTCTCTAGATACCAGAAATATTGGCTTTATTTTATTTGCATTTAAACAACTGTCAGCATGCACAGAATAAGCAGAAATTTGTTGCTAAGCTTTTTGCTAATAAAGTCTTGCAATTCTTTATGTAGCCCAAGCCATTCTAATTTTTAAAAGATATTACAAGTATGTTTCATGTTCTGCGAAATCAAAGTGTTGAGTTTTTCTGCAAGTACTAAAAAGCCCTGTCGATTTTGATGTTTCTCTCTAAACACCTGTATGGACTTCATCCAGTGCATATTATGGAAGTTTATGTTTCTTGTTGATAATATGGAAAGAAAAACTTCTTCATTGTTTCCTTTTTCAGTCACAAATATACAGGTTTAGGAAACAAAGAACTCTTTCATTTTAATATTGTGCTGATATTATAACATGGCAAGATCATTTGTTATCTTACTGGTGATTTTCTATAATTAAAGTACCTTCACGGAAAAAAAATGGAACTGTATATAAAGAGTTTGATATAGCAAAAAACTGTCCTTGCTGTTGAAGACCAATAGCAAAAAAATTATATGCATAGGAAGTGGCCTGGAACACACTTCCCTATGACTTCCACTACTTAGAGAAATAGGATTAAACTTGCTTCAAGAGACTTTGACTCCCAGATAGACTCTGGGTTCTTTGATGTCATAGAAAATGCCAAGGTAGGAGGTCTTTCTAAAAGATCAAGTAAAACCCAGTTGAACTGTGAACTGTGAGTGAGCAGAAAAGTTTTTAGATGCCCTTCTAACCTGCTTCTAACTTTTACCGTGAATATATAGTAGGGTTCAGAAACAATCTGTTGTAAATTCTTCAGCCAATTAGCTGAGTGAGTTACCACCGTTTATAATGCGCAGAACGTGGAGGCTCTTGTGCAGTTGCGCCGAGTTGGATTGTTAATAACAGGAAGCTAGCACTTCTCAGTACAGTGGATCAGCTACATGTGAAAATAAATGTAAAAAACCTGGAGGGGAATGGCAGCAGACTGAGATTAGCCTTTATTTAATTTAGCATTTGGGGGTCCAACACACAAATGAGCGTTTTAGTAGGCTTCATGGTGGAAGTTGCTGTCATTTGTAAAATATTCTGGCCAATTAGCTAATAGTGTGCTTGGATTTCTCCTGTTTTGATACAGTAATACTAAGTACATTGTGAAGCCCAATTATACAAATCATCCCCATATGCCATACCAGTCTTTCTTTATGAACTGTGTTTATAAATCCTGTGTGAGGAAATGTGTACTTCAGCAATTTAGACCATGTGTAAAAACATAGCCAATAGGATTGTCAAGAAAACAAGTTCCAGCATAGGAAATCCTAATGTGTTCCGCTAAAATAACACGAGTGTGTTGTGTTGTGTGAGTTTTCTGATTAAATACATATTACTTTATAGTGCTTAACCTGCATAGCTCCTTCAGTTTCCCTTTTTATTCTTTATTTCTCTCTTTTTTTGTAGGATCCAAATTTGGAGTTTTTGAGGAAATTTGGAATTGGGCTAGTCTCAGGAACAATAGCCTCAATTATTAACATTCCTTTTGATGTTGCAAAAAGTAGGATTCAAGGACCACAGCCAGTTCCTGGAGAGATCAAGTACAGAACCTGTTTTAAAACTATGGCAACAGTCTATAAAGAGGAAGGGTAAAACATTCTTATTTTAATAAATGTCCAGACCTCTGGTTTAGTTCATATAGGTCCATAAAACCACATTGTTATATTTCAGATTTGATGAGGACCATTAAGCCACCCTGAACTAACATATCAAAAGAGCACAATGTAACATTTTGAAAACGTGTTTTAGAATTACAAGGAGATATCCTCCTACTCCACATGAGCTTTTACAAAAGACTCACAAGATGATTATTGGGTTGTAAAAATTTACATTCCACAAATAGATGCTTCATGTATCTTGTGTAATTTTTTCATCTCTTCATTTTGTAAAGGGAAAATAGCAACAGAAAACAGAATATTTCCCAATTTAATTTAATTGTAATTATACGGACCTCTGTACCTTTAAAATGACTGCTGAAATAATTAAATTGGGGACAGATCCTTGTTGCAATAACGTTTTCCAACTTTTTAAAATATTTCTCAAGTGGAGACTGAGTTGTAGCTTTGATATTCAATTATAGCAGTCATTTTGTCCATGTATGCAGCTGTTGTTAACAGACTTGTCTTGAAAGTAAAACCGTCTCACTGATTAAAGTCATATTTCTGATTGGCTAGGCTCACAACGTTGCTTTTGTGACTGAACATTGATTAACTTTTTCTCTTCATCTGATCTGCCTCTGTAAAATGTTAAAACCCAGATACAGCCTGCTATTGAACATTTGTAATTTCAAATAATTGCTTCTAAGTGCTCTGCCAGCATTTTAACAAACACATACTAAAATTCCATTCTCCTTTTAGAGCAAGAATATTGTTTGAAATGTTTTGTTTGTTTTTCTTCTGGTACAGATTTCTGGCCCTGTACAAAGGCTTGGTTCCCAAGATCATGAGGCTTGGTCCAGGTAATTTCACCTCTGTCATTTCTACATTGCTTTTGTTCTTGTTTTCTCTTCCCATTTTCAGTTTCCTGAAAAAATGTAGTAAACATCAGTCAAATAAATGAAACAGCGTACCAGAAATCATCAAAATCTCTTTCATCTTTGAATGATTTCTTTTGATAATAGCATTATCTAATAGTACCATAGATGGGCTTGTCTAAATATGTGTCTGAAATAATTATTTACAAATACACATCACAGGATTGCAGATCCAAGTAACTGCTGGTTTGTGTAATTGCTTTATTTGTGAAAAAGCCAAAGTGCATGCATGCAAATCCCAGAACCGTAAAACCTTTGGAAGTGTTTCTTAAAGCTTCCTATTCCTTATGATGTGATTTTTTGGTTTCATTAGCACTATTCTGTGCCCATGTAAAGTCACCTTAAAATGCAGGGTAGAATCTCTCCAGTATAAATGCTTTCAACTAGTCGAAACATAGCCTGAGCATATCAAGTTCCAGTTACTTTCTTCTCGTGTGCTCTGCAGGGGCTATAAAGAACAGACACTAAAAGGCTGATAGTATGAGCTGGGAAGAGATTTGCATGGCCCTGGAAGACTAAGAGGACAAGGATAGCTTAAAAATGAGTTTGTTGATTGACTTCTTCTCACTAGTTGTTACTCCAAATGTGGGAGCACACTGGTTGAGAGCTAGATCCTCTACTTTTAGACTATTTTTCCCTGACTGGTTTTGATTAATCATGAAAGCAAAGCACTGGGCCCTTAGACTTTGCCAGCCCACAGAGGCAGTCTGTGTCAAAAAGAGCAGAAGCCCCAATTTGAACAGTATCCCATTCCTGTGAAATTTTATTTCCAATTGTACAAGGTGGTTTAATAGGCAAGAACACACATGGTTGAAAGCAAGTAGGTACAGAGTCTGTTCTGCAGTATAAAGGAGGCATTAGGTTTGTTTGTAAATGTTTGCATATCCAATCTGTCTGGCTAAGTGCTAGACTATGCCTGGTTATTGTGCAGGGTAAAGGAAGAAGGTGGGGAGGGGAAACAAGGCAGCTGGGCGTAAGTCTGGAGCTAAAAGCCTTTTCCCTTGTACTCCAAAGATACTAGATTACATACAGGACAAAGAGAAGGCAGGGTTTCACTTCCCCAGTACCCGTTAGCACAGAAAATTTTGGAATAAGATTTTCCATCTTACAAATGACTATGCGTTCTGGCCCAGATCCAGCAAGTCAGATAAGCGTGCACTTCATTTTAAGCACTTTTGTAGTCCCACTGACTAACATATAAATTTGGCATTCTGATGAAACAATGCAATCTTTATTGGGACTGGAAAAGTAATTCCTTCTTTCAATATGTGAATGCTTTCAGGAAAAGAGATACACAAACAGATCACACAATATGAGAATTGGAATCAGCCTTGATTTGAGTTCAAATCACATCTTAGACATTTTGTCTATGATTTGTTTGTTCGTCAAAGCCTTTAGCAAATTTTTGTTCTGTCTAGCTGTCTGTGAGTTACTGTGCATTGAGGATTTTGAGTCTGATGATGGTTCGTTACGATAAATAACATGGGAAAACTCATGTGGTATTTCGGTGTGCCTGGTTGTCTGAGCCTATCCCATTTATCTAGAAAGGTCAGACCAGTTCTGCAGACTTGTTTGTTAGAGGTGCCGCTCTAACCCACTGACAGAGCCAACAGGGAAAGGCATGAAAATGTTTGTGCCCCAGTGCTGGCATCCACAAGTAGCACATTGTAACACACTTTCACTCCTGCAGCCTGGAATGTGATTCTCTTTCCCTATCTTCTCCAACTGTCTTCTCCAAACGTTCCCTTCTTTAGCTCATACAGTAATAACAGCTTGGTTACAAAAGGGCTTTAGTCTGGCTTCACTAACAGTAAAGATTCTTTATGGCATTCAAGCTGGGATTTTATACAGTTATCGGTTCTAGCAGACAATGCCAATTTATCAGATCAAAACTGCCTGTGGAGTCATAGCCAGGTACAGGCACAGGATGATTATATTCATTTCATTACAGTCATCTGCTTTAGACATGGTAAGCAAGCAGCTGAAAACCTTTCTTGAATCTTACCTGGAAGCATTTCATTAACCTGATGATGAATTTTTGTCATTCCACCACTCTTTCACTACCAAATCTAAACACACAAATATATACATATTCAGATTAAAAGCTTCCCTTGGAAAAGAGCAAAGAAAAATACTAATCTTGAAAAAATGTTAGGAAAAATCACATTGGGGTTGATTTTGATTTAATATACAAGCTTTTTGCATCATTTATTTTGTCTAATATTAAGTAAAAATTGTATGGTTTAAGAATTGGTGAATTTTTAATGAATTGGGGAATTAGAGTTATCCATTTTTCAAATAAGGCTTTGCCATATCTTGGTCTAGATTACACACTACAAATGCTCTACAAAATATTGAAAATACTGAATTTTGTATGTAATAAAATAATATCTTTTCTTCCAGGTGGTGCAGTGATGCTTTTGGTTTATGAATACGTTTACGCATGGCTTCAGGACACAGTTGGTCACAAGTAGTGCTTCTGAAAAATGTGCTCTTTAGGATTCTAAAATACATTTTAATAAAGTAAAAGTGATTCTCATCCTTTGTGGTGTTGAATGCCCTCAGACTACACTGATATTAATACAGTTCAAAACATACTTGGTCTTCAGGACCGGATCTAAGAAAACACTTAAGCACATGCTTTTCTGTAAGTGCATAAGTAAATAACACAGTTGATATTTGTAATTGTTTTACCGGAGCAAGAGAAAATGTAAAGGAGACATAGGAACAAGTTAGTTTTTCAAGAACAAACTGAAGATTATAGTCACTGAATTATACTATGTAGTCAATACACTTTTTTAAAAATTTCAGCTTTCAGGGGATTTTAAAGAAAAAAATGGAATAACACTCTGGGGTCAGATACTAAGCTACTGTAAACTGACAGCTCCATTGACTCCAGGTTAAGAACATGACTCCATACTCTGCAAACTCTTGCATCAATCTTGGGTCCGGTTTCAGTTCAGTCCAGTACAATTTCAACACTGATAGAAGAACTTCTTAAGTTGTTGGGAGTTAGGATAGAAAAAGGACAATACAACTAGCCACAACCTTAAAAACACACATGCTGCTAAATGTCCTACTTGTGCTTAACCATATATATCATATAAATCTCACTCAAGTTACAGAAAATACCAAAAATAATTAGTCTGAATCAAGTTACATAAAAGTGCAAAACAACTGTGGGAATCATAAAAGAAATGAGTAAATAAATGAACAGAAAAACTACTGTCCTGTGATAAAATGCTCAATGCACCTTGAATGTCCCTTTAGCCTTTCATCACCACCATGGGATGGAAAAACAATGTTCTAGACTGATAGCACATATGCAGTTGTAATTAGCTAGACACTTGAAATGTGCTTTTCTATAAATAAAAAGTGTTGCTCTAAAGCTGAAATTGTTGCTTTTCCCAGTCACTGTAAATATAAATAATAATTTGGTGATGTACTCCTGTCTTTACTAGCCGTTCTAACTAGCTCTGTGAATTATGATAATTTCTGCTATGCTGATTGAAAATGTAGTTTCCGTTCAGTCAGTTGTGCCACTCTACAGTCTATTTTCAGAACTCTTTAAATAACATAAGTTTACACATTATTCTGTTATAAAAATGTTCCCATTATCTAAACATGTCAAATGAATGCATATCTTGCAATTGTTGAAAGTTTCTGTATCACCCCATACTACCTTCACACTGTTAACTTTAAATGTTTTTCCTCTTAAAAAGGTACAAACGTATTTCCCAGCAATCCTAAAGAAATATCTTTCCAGATTGTTGCTTGGAAAGGACAGTTCACATGTGAAGTCTCATCTCATGAGTGTTTTTAATGCATTAGAAAAGAAACAAAAAGCTAAAAATAGAAGTACATTCTCAGCACTTTCAAAGATGCTTGTACTAACATGCTCAATAAACCTCTCTTTTGTCTAAATTTGAAAACAGCGACTTCTCATACCTATACTACTTCATAGATAAAATCAATAAAAACAGCTCTGTTATAGTTTATCAATTTAAGGCAAATGTTCCTCGGTGTTGCATTTCATTATCAGTACTTAGCCAAAGAGAAGACACTACTAAGATAATTTTGAAAATTAAAAGCAAAATGCTTTATAATTAGTCTTTTATTAATTTAAAGCATTCAAAATATAAAAATAAAAGGCTTTAAACATACTGTATATACATATATAGCCTTCAGTTTTACATCCTTTCCAACATGTTTTTTTTTCAATTAATAGCTCAGCCTGATCTTTGATAAAAAGAGAACCATTAGAAAGCAGAAAACACAACATTGTTTTAGAAAACAAACCCATTAATGTGCCAGCCCAATCCCCCATCACTCCTGGTGTAATATGGGGTCTGATTCACTTTTACACTGGAGGTCTTCTGTACTGGGACCATGCAAACACAGTGGGGCTGTCATAGAAGGGAGTATTCAGCTTCACTGATTTCTTTGAAAGCATTTGACACTCGGGGAATGAAGTGTGGGCTTTTCAGATTAAAAACTTAAATTTGGCACTTGCATATACTGCATATTTCCCAAATTAATACATTCAACTCAGTGGGTTCACTGATTTATACTCCTGTACCTGACAGCAGCAGTTGATCCTTGCTTATTATTTAGGAAAAAAAAAAAAAAAAGATATATAAATATATATATCCCTTTTTCTCCTTTCTTTATTGTAAAGTGGCTCAAAGTTGTGTGGCTAGTAAACTGACATGTTGTGTCTTGCAGTTTACTCGTGAGTACAAGCAGGAAAATAAGTCCTTGGGCAAAGGAGTATTCTGCATTGTAGGTTTACATATAAAAAGAACCATATTGTTATGAAAATTCACACCAAAAAAATCCATCACAGGCAGTTCACCAAGAGCCAAGGTCAAGTACCTTTGCTCACTCTGAGCAACACTTTCTGTGCACAGCCCCACTGTCTTTCCATTTTGGGGGTAAGGCATTATATACAGCAGGAAGGTGCACGAAGAGCTGTACCTGAACACAAACCAAAAATGGTTCATGATGGTGTATTCCCACATGAGGAATATTTAACATCATGTCTTGTCCTTGCTTTATAAATCATCCTGGTTTAGCTGAAGACATGATAATGCAAACAACTGATACAAGCTAAGGATCTAAGTATTTCCCAAAATACACTAATGCCTTGTAGGAATGTCAGGAAAAGATGAGTTTTATTCCAGAAATGACATCTTGCTGCTCCAGAAAATTTTGAAAACTTTTAACATAGGCACACTTTGTTACAAGCTTATTAAATCTTGGAGCTCAAAAAACTGTGCTATGGAAGGCTTCTCTTCTCTTTTTCCAGGGTTTTGGTTTGGGCTTGGTTTGTTGTTTTTTTTTTTTTCATTTAATACACTTTGTTTGTGCTGTATGGGTAACAATAGGTAGACTTCATAATTCTATAATCCAGTAAAACAATTAGGTTGAAAGCTGAATTCCTGTTGCCAACTTACTCATTTATTGACTCATGATCTTTTTCTTATCTTTTCTTTCCTCCATTTTATTTTTAGTGGAGGGCTTGTCTAGAATTAAACCATTTTCTTTTTTATGTTATTAAGGCTCATCTTATTCCAGCTACAACTGCATAAAGGCAGAATAATGTTCATCATGTCACTAACAGTGTGGCAGAGTAGACATGCACTAGTGTGCATTTTACCTTTAGTGGTTTCAAAAAAACATTCTTTAAAACGTCTTCTGCTGAATAACAAGGGTTTCAGCATCACATAAAGCTAAGCAGCTGTCAAATCCCTCTGAGGCTGAAGGATACGGGATCACATCTGAGATCAGATCATTCTTTCCTTAGGGCCATAATACAATACCTGTGTTCTTTATAGAAATACAGTTCCATTAACTGTTTTCCAATGCAAAAAGCAAAGGTGGCAGCAGCCAGTTGAGTCCATTTATATTTCAGTGGATATACTGTACAAAACATATGTAATGGTTACTTAGATTATATGAAAATTTACCCACAGCTGTCTCAATGATGAAAGCTGGAAATCCACAAAGAGAGGACTGTATCTTAAGAGGGGACTGTATTTTCCTTCCCACTGAATGAATGTTTAATATGGTATGCAGATAAAGTGATAATTGAAGAATTACGTTTTCTCCTCTGCTTTAACTATCTCTAGTGTAATTTAAGTTATTGCACAACGTTTATAAAAATACACAATATATTAATATTCTATGAAGGATATGAAATGTCACACCGGGCTTAATTTTGTTTTTTTTCCACGTTCATATTCTGAACATACCTACAGCATGTGGAAAGCATTCTGGAATAATAGTCAGAACTTTATTATTACCCAAGGAAAACAGGTAAATTTCCAAAGATCAGAACGTTAGCTCTCTTGGGATTAAAGTTTAAAGCAAAATAACTGGCACAGAGTACTTGCCACTGGATACAGAAATGTAGGAAGGGAATTTGTTAATATTAAATAATACCTGTATCTAGCACCACCACCAGTATACCTATAAGGGAAAAAAAAATGCTTCAGGACAACAATGTAAACTTTACCAAGAGCCATATTTTACATTCATTAAAGCAGAAATTAAAGACATCTTCCTCTTTAAAAAGTTACAACATAATCTTGGGGCTGAAAATGCTGGACAAGTCAGCCGACAAAGATGGTACAATTCTGTTTCTCAGTGGGTTTGTTGACTGACATGGTTTTATAAGCATCTCTGCATAGGTTGCACACTAATGGCGTTTTCCTCTACAGTTTTCAGTTTTGTTCAGATATTTTCCACCTATTTCTGTTTGTACACTTAACACGAATATGGTGTTTCATGAATCTGGGAGGCTGGGTATAGCTGGAGAGAGTTATTTGGCTGGATTTATGCCTTTGAATCTTCTGCTAAAGAGATAATTGTATTTTATGAGATGTTGAAGCCTCCATTGTAGGCATAAAAACACAATGAAGAAAAACTTACCTAAACCTCATCACCTGAGGTTATCACCCCACCACACAAAGACAGAAAATAGCTAGAAAGTCACCTTTTTAACTTCAAAAGAAAAAAAAAAAAAGTAGAAATAAATGTACTGGAAGGTGAAAACAAATGCTGTCAAAAGCCTATATTTACAAATGGATAAAAACGCAAAGGTATTACTAATGCCTGACGATGGCAACATGCCAGAAGAATCTGAGAGCTGCCTATTGCCTTGGTTTTATATTTGATTACCAAAATCCAACAAAACAACCAAAAACTGATCTCTTAATAGTGGCGGATTGTATAACCTCACTGATGAAAGGGTTGTTCTCTAGGCAATTGACAAACGCCTCCCGTTTAGCCGCCTTTGCTGATTCGAAGCATAGCAGAAATTTCTGTGGTGATTTTTCTTTATTGCTTTTTACACAAATTTTAATAACAATTGCACATTTAGAAAGTCTATGATGATTAAGAATAAATACATGTGGTTTGACCAGGAGAGAATGGGACAAGGCTCCACAAGCCCTTTGAGGGACGCAAGGTCTTTACTTAAAGAGCGCAACACCACACATCTCTCAGTTTCTGATGTTGTCTTCAGCTCTTTCAATCCCAAAAGCCTTACGGGAGACAAGTCATGAGGAGAAATGCCAGGTATCACCGGCATGAAGAGAGCAGTCCGTGAGCCAGGCTCAGGGGACGACCAGCTAGCAGGCTCATGGTGGTCCTGGACTGGCTCCTGCATCAGAGCGCGGAGGCCGTGACCGAGTGGCTGCCCTCCCTGGCCGTCTGCATGCCCTTGAACGCCAGCGAAGCGGGGATGTCGCAGCTGTGGGGGGACAGCGGGGTGCCTCCAGCGTGCTGCCAGCCGTGGCTCGCCATGTAGCTGGACGGGGCAGCGCTGTACGTCATGTAAGGTGACACTTGGGCTGGTGTGGCATAGGGAGGCATGGCTGGTGCTGACACAAAACTGCTGACGGCTGGGAGGCCGTTGGGTGCCTGAAAGGAAAGGGAAAAATGTTTCTAAGAGATTAAGATACAGCGGATCTGCCATAAAAGAAGCTGCCCTCAGGTGCTGCTGGGGCTTTGTACAAGAACCAGGGCCAGTGGGGACACCCAGAGAGCCACCTAGAACCACTCTCCTGGTTTTCCGGGGCTCAGTGGCCCCCTTGTGCTTTGCTTTTAAGACCAGCTACCCCTCATCAGCCCTGCACACCTCTCCCAGCAGCCTGTCCCACACAGGGACCAGCAGCAGACGTTTAGGGAGCACACACCGTGCGCAGGGCAGGAACCGCCGAGCCCCCTGTACTCCCACCCACCTTCCCACAAGCTGTTCTCAAGGACTCCTTAAGCCCATGGTTGCCTCTAATCATTACATTTGAGAGCTACTGCTGGAGGTATTTGTGATGAGCACCTTCAGCTTCTTGGCAATGAGACCCATGGGTTGGAGCTGGTGGGCTGTAATATTTACCCATTTTTCCCAGATTTCACATGGGGATATTGGCCACTGTGGCTGGGCTCTGGCAGATAACGCTGTGGCACTTTAAGCTGCTTGTGCAGTGACCATGGCCATACCAGTGGCAGGAGAGACAGACCCATCCCAGTGCCTCGCCTACCCCAGCCCCGAAGCAGGGGGGGCTCAGCCCTGAGCTGCAGCAGGCAGGTGCAGGCACAGAGCCCAATGTAACGCTCCCTGGAGCAGAGAGGTAACAAGCAGCTGGGGGAGGTGGGCACGTCTTAAACTCTTTGGTAACTGTTTGCTCAGAGCATGAGTCAGAACTATAGTATTATTATTATTACTATTGATGATGTCTTTTAAAATGTTTTCTAGATACTTGGGATATAACCTTGCAAATGTTCTTTGCTCACAGCTTCTCCTGGTTTCAATAGGGCTTCTGTGCACAAAACAATCGCAGGGCTGGGTCCTTTCCTGCAAGCTATTTTCCTAGGTCCTTTCATAGGCTGAAGAGAAGGTTTTCTATTTAAATAGAGAAGGGAGAGTCCTTCA